GCCAGCTCCTGCTCCATGCGCTCATCAGCTCGAGCCTTAAATCAGTGGCCCAAAATGCTCAGAGCAGTTTTTTCTTTCTCTCATTGTGGTTTCTCCCGCCATCATGAACTCTGTAGGTCTCGCCTCCTCTTACCCTGAGCTCTAGCGGCCCCAGCTTGGCTGTTGTTACATTTTTATAGTTGTAAATTGGTTGATTTGTGGGAGAGAGTTGACGCTGGGAACTGTCTATTCCGCTATCTTGACTGGAAGTCCCAGAAGAATGGATTTTTTAAAATGATCCAACTAAATGCTGTCTACAAGAGACTCTCATTAGATTCAAAGACACAAATACAGTCATGTGTAATTAAGGCAATTTCATCATTGTATGAACATCAGAGTGTACTTACACAAGCCTAGATGGCATAGCCTATTGCTCCTAGGCAACAAACCTGTACAGCATGTTACTGTACTGAATACCACAGGAAATTGTAACACAATGGTATCTGTGTATCTAAACATATATAATCATGGAAAAGTTACAGTAAAAATATGGTATAAAAGATTAAAAAATGGTACACCGGTATAGAACACTTACCATGAATGAAGCTTGCTGGACTGGAAGCTGCTGGACGAGCCAGCAAGTGATGTATGGATAAATAAATAAATAAGTGGAATATCAGGTCATGAAGAGGAATGTACTGATACATGCTACAACACAGATGAACCTAGAAAACATTACACTAAGTGAAAGAAGCCAGTCACAAAAGATGTATTTTATGCTCTCATTAACATGAAATGTCTAGAACAGGAAAATCCATAAAGGCAAAAAACAGATTAGTGGTTGCCAAGGGGTTGGAGGTGGGGGGAATGAAGAGTGACTGCTTAATGAGTATGGGGTGACCTATTGGGGTGATGAAAAAGTTCTGAAGCTAGATAGTGGTGACGATTGCACAACAGTGTGAATATACTAAATGTCACTAAACCAGAAACTTTAAGATGGTCAAAATGGTAAATTTTATGTTATGTGTATTTTACCACAATTTTTAAAAGACACTTCAGAGAGGCAGCTACATGGGAGAAAAACATGGATATTCTTTACATCTTCCAGTCTTTGTCTGTGTTCATAGATTTCTATAGCTTACAGTTTGCCAGGTTTTTCATTTCATATTATCTTATCTAACACCCTGAACAAAAAACACAGCAAGTAGGTTTAAAAAAAAAAAATCTTATGTAAATCACAATAAGTGGATTTCTTCCTGCAGTATAATAAGAAATATATTTGGTCTTTGTCCCCAGTTCCTGGCATTAGCACTTCTAAAATCCTTGGAATTTCCCAAGTGATGAACAGTGAGAGAAGGATCTTTTGTTATTCATAATCCCCCTTCAACCACACCTACTTATAAGGTGACTCTGGGTGGGCCCCTAAGTAGCTTCAGGATGGGGGCTGGTTTCCAGAGGAACCAAGTGCTTAGAGGGCTGGAACTTTCAGCCCCAACCCCTGACTAGGAAGGGGAAATGCGCTTCCGAGTTACTTACCAATGATCAGCGATTTAATCATGGGTACATAATGGAACCTCCATAAAAATCCTAAACAATGGGGTTCAGAGAGCTTCTGCAGTGGTAAATGCATCCATGTGCTTGTGGTACACCCCAGCTCCACAGGGGCAAAAGCTCCTGCACTTAAGATCCTTCTGGAACGTGTCCTAAGTACCTCTTCATCTGGCTGTTCATTTGTATCCTTTATAATAAACTGGTAATAGTAAAGTTCTGAGTTCTGTGAGCTCTTTTTTTTTTTTTTTAAAGATGACCGGTAAGGGGATCTTAACCCTTGACTTGGTGTTGTCAGCACCATGCTCACCCAGTGAGCTAACCAGCCATCCCTATATGGAATCTGAACCCATGGCCTTAGTGTTATCATCACTGCACTCTCCCGAGTGAGCCACGGGCTGGCCCGTGAGTTCTGTGAGCTCTTACAGAAAATTATCAAACCTGAAATCAGTCATGTAGGAACCCCCAATTTGTAGTCAAGTCAGACAGAAATGTGGGTAACATGGGAGCCTACTACTTACAACTAGTGTCTGACGTGGGGGTAGTCTTGTGGGATTAAGCCCTTAACCTGTGGGGTCTGCACTACTTCTAGGTAGGTAGTATCAAAATTGAATTAAATGATAAGACATTTGGTTGGTGTCTGTCCAGAGATTGGAGAATTGCTTGGTGTGGAAAACCCACACACTGGTGTCTGAAGTACTGTGAGTAGTTTTTCTTTACTGCCCGTAATAGGTGACAGTAGAGGAAAAAATAAATAAAATCCAAAAGAGAAAAAAATTTGTGATGCTCCTCTTTCCTGTACCCTCATTTATCTCTACCAATTGTCCACAGATAAATTCTTGCTGTGCGATTTACTGCAGAAAATTACCACCTAGAAATGGTCTTTTGAGGGCCGGCCCGTGGCTCACTCGGTAGAGTGCGGTGCTGATAACACCAAGGCCCCGGGTTCGGATCCTATATAGGGATGGCCGGTTTGCTCACTGGCTGAGCGTGGTGCTGACAACACCAAGNGTGTTATCTCATTTAATTTCGTATAACTTCGTATAATGTATGCTATACGAAGTTATTACGTAGGGATGGCCGGTTTGCTCACTGGCTGAGCGTGGTGCTGACAACACCAAGTCAAGGGTTAAGATCCCCTTACCGGTCATCTTTTAAGAAAAAAAAAAGAAATTGTCTTTTGATAAAATTGTTCAAGGATTCTGGGGCAGTAAATCCTAATCTTAACATGCAAGGAGAGGAAGAAAGAGATTTCAGATATTTAGAAATCCAATTTCTGACTTCTTTTGAAAACTCATCCTATCTAGGGCCAGCCTATGGCTCACTTGGGAGAATGTGGTGCTGATAACACCAAGGCCGTGGGTTCTTCAGCTTTCCCGAGTTAGCCTGACTGTTCTCCTTGTTGCTTAGACTTTTTGGGGGGGTGGGGGTGGGAGGCTGAACAATACATATTTATTGTTCATGCTATTAATAGTTTAAGACAAAAGTAGACTGAACCAAATGAACTTTCCTAGATTGTATATCATAGCCATACCTGGGGTCAAAAAGTCATTTTCTTGGGAATCATTGCTACTAGTTAGAGCTAACCATTCTACTTAATCACTGATCTTCATTAGTTCATGTAGGCCATACTATTTAAATCATTTCACACTCCCAAGTTAATAGGCAAAGTTACTAGCAAGGGGAAGAGGCAGTCAGGGTACCACCTGTACTCACTTAGCTGCACAGTAATACTGCTTGAGCTAGAAACATCTGTGACATTGCAATCTGAGACCTCTAGGTGCACAGAATCCAGCACAGTGAAATTAATTTTCCTGTGTTGTTCTTCTGAAGTATTCAATATAGCTTTTCACAATGCATAATTAGATTTATTTAGAATGGTCTTTGCATTTTTGTTAAAATTTAAATAAAGCTGCATAATGAGTCCTTCCTTATGACAAGCTAGCAGAACATTAACAAATAACTTATCAGGCAAAAAAAGTCCCTTGTGACTTTAAGGGACTTGAACGTTGTAACAGAATTTTCTGAGGCAGCTGTAATGTAACAGAACTTGTCATTTTACTTTATTTATTTATTTTTTTAAAAGATGACCGGTAAGGGGATCTCAACCCTTGACTTGGTGTTGTCAGCACCACGCTCAGCCAGTGAGCGAACCGGCCATCCCTATATGGGATCCGAACCCGGGGCCTTGGTGTTATCAGCACCGCACTCTACCGAGTGAGCCACAGGCCGGCCCAGAACTTGTCATTTTAAACCTTCTTTATGTATTGTTAACAGCATTACATCATTCACATACCTTACTGCTTAGAATTTTTTTTTTTTAAAGATGACTGGTAAGGGGATCTTAACCCTTGGCTTGGTGTTGTCAGGACCCCGCTCAGCCAGTGAAGGAATTGGCCATCCCTATATGGGATCTGAACCCATGGCCTTGGTGTTATCAGCACCGCACTCTCCCAAGTGAGCCACAGGCCGGCCCAACTGCTTAGAATTTTTTAAAGGGGCAAGAGATTCTCCTCTAAAGAGTATCTCGAGGCTTCCAAGATGTTTATGGAACCAGAGACCTTGAAAAGCACTAAGGAGGCTGGGAATCCAACGCAGCCACCTTCCTTCAGGACCTCAGAGCCACGAGTTTGTATAAGAGTTCCAACTACTACAAAATAGGGAACCTCTAACATGCTATCTTCTTGACTGCCCTTCATACTTACACAAAGGGCATATATAGCAAATGTCATTTTTGAAGGCTACATAGTATTTCATGTATGAATATATGCCAATTTGATATGGAAAAAAATCTTAATAATTTTCACTCCTTAGACTACTGAGACAACATCTCTTCTCACTTTAAGTCATCTTTATGCCTCTTTAAAAACTGCTTGTTAGGGCCAGCCTGTGGCTCACTCGGGAGAGTGTGGTGCTGACAACACCAAGTCAAGGGTTAAGATCCCCTTACTGGTCACCTTAAAAAAAACAAAACAAAACAAAAAAAACTGCCTATTAGTGTCATTTGCTAGTTTTTATAAAGTTAATTTATTTTCCTCTTAATTCTAAAACCTCTTTTTATATATTACACCTTTATTTTATTATTATTTTTTTTTCTTAAAGATGACCAGTAAGGGGATCTTAACCCTTGACTTGGTGTTGTCAGCACCACGCTCACCCAGTGAGCTAACCGGCCATCCCTATATGGGATCCGAACCCGGGGCCTTGGTGTTATCAGCACCACACTCTCCCGAGTGAGCCACGGGCCGGCCCAGATATTACACCTTTATATCACAAATTTTACAAAGGTAATTCCACTTTTTGTACTTTATCTGTTAACCTTATTTGAAGTTACTTAAAACAAAATCAGACAGAAATATTTAATTTTGATTAGTCAATTTATCAGTATTTTCCCCTTATGGTTGATTTCTAGCTTTCATCTCATGCATAGAAAGGTTTTCTCTATTCCATGAAAATAAAAATATTTACTCATCTTTTTTCCCTTTTTAAAAGAAGTCTTTATTGTTTTTCCTCTTTACAAAAGTAATGCATGCTTATTGTCAAAATTTAAACAAATAAATTAATGTAGGCAGAGTGAATATCCTTATACTACAGGTTTTCCTATCCAAGAACAAGGTTTCTCTCTCTCCATTTATTCAAGTTTCCTTTGGTGGCCCTTAGGAGACTTCTGGTTTTTCCCATATAAGTCCTGCATAATAACTGTTTATTTCTAGAAAATCTACTTTTCTTGATGCTGCTGGGAATGTGATATTTCATTATATTTTCCAATTGGTCATTAGTACAAAACAAAGCTGTTTATTTTGGGATGTTCTTTCTTAACTGGTCATCCACTCCTGATTAAAAATTAAATGAAACAGAAAAGACCTGTTTCCATGTGAACACTCTGCCATATTCATTTCCCTCTTAGTGTTCTCCAGCAGGATGAATCTGATGATACTTGATCCATTTAAGCATTAGTCTTGAGTTTTCTACATTCTTCTCATTAGGATTTTCCTTCACTATGGACACTCTGATGCTGACTAAGTTGAAAGCTAAACCTGAAGGCTTTCCCACACACATTACACACACAGGATTTCTTCCAAGTATGGACTGTCTGATGTATAATACAGTCAGAACTATAGCTGAAGCCCTTGCCACACTCCACACATCTGAAGGGTTTTTCCCCACTGTGGCTTCTCTGATGCCGAATTAAATGGGCATTAACATGGAAGGCTTTTCCACACTCTTTACATTGAAAGGGTTTCTCTCCAGTATGGATTCTCTGGTGCACAATATAGTCAGAACTACAGCTGAATGCTTTCTCACATTCCATACATTTGAAAGGTTTCTCCCCAGTATGTATTCTCTGATGCCTAGTTAATTTGGCATTGATACTGAAGGCTTTCCCACATTCCTTACATTGATAAGGCTTTTCTCCAGTATGGATTCGGTGATGATCAAGTAGGTTTCTTTTAGAAGTAAAGCATTTCCCACACTCATTACATTCAAAGGGTTTCTCTCCAGTGTGAATTCTCTGATGCTGCATTAGTTTTGCATTAACACTGAAGGCCTTTCCACACTCATTACACTCATAGGGCTTCTCCCCAGTGTGGATTCTCAGATGCTGCCGAAGCTGGGAGTTACACCGGAAGGCTTTCCCACATTCATTACACTCATATGGTTTCTCACCTGTGTGGATTCTCTGGTGCTGCATTAATTTCCCTTTGACACTAAAGGCTTTTCCACATTCAGTGCACTCAAAGGGTTTCTCCCCTGTGTGGATTCTGCAATGCTGAATGAGTTTTGCATTATTATTGAAGGCTTTTCCACATTCTTTACACTGATAGGGTTTCTCTCCAGTGTGGATGATCTGATGCTGCCTAAGCTGGGAGCTGCACCTGAAGCCTTTCCCACATTCATTGCATTCATAAGGTTTCTCTCCAGTGTGGATTCTCTGATGTTGAATTAATTTTGCATTAACATTAAAAGCTTTCCCACAGTCATTACACTCGTAAGGTTTCTCCCCAGTATGGATTCTCTGATGTGTGATATATGCAGAACTACAGCTGAAGCCATTTCCACACTCCTTGCACTGATAGGGCTTCTCTCCTGTATGGACTCTCTGATGCCTACTCAGACTCCCATTAATACTGAAGGCTTTCCCACACACCTTACACTGATAGGGCTTCTCCCCACTGTGGATTGTCTGATGTGTGATAAAATGGGAACTGTAGCTAAAGCTTTTCCCACACTCCACACATTTGAAGGGTTTCTCTCCACTATGAAGTCTTTGATGCCAAATTAATTTTGCACTAACACTGAAGGCTTTGCCACACTCAATACATTGATAAGCCTTCTCTCCAGTGTAGCTTTCTTCATGCTGATTAAGTTTAGAGTCACATCTAAAGGTTTTCATTAATTCTTCACATTTGAAAGGTTTTTCCACAGTATTAATTATTTCATGCTTAACAAGTTTTGTGTCAAAACTTAAGGATTTCCCCAATCCTGTACACCCAGGGGGCTGCTCACCAGTGGAGATGGTATGACACTGATACAAGTTTGGACTATGACTAAAGAAACACTCCGCCATGGGGCTTATCTCATTTTTTACTGTTCCATCAATGACACTGCTGTTTTCCTTCTTCATACTTGCTACTGAGTAGACTTCCTGTTGTTTCTCTAGAATATAGGCTTCTGAAAAGTCTGTTTCCTGGGAAAAGTCCCTCTGAAGTTCAAATGACATATTATCTTTTTCTTCACAGATTTCTTTTGCCAAATTATTGTCAGTCTGGATATCAATATCTACTATAAGAAATAGAAAACATAAAATGTCATGTAAGAACCATATTAGAAAAAAAGAAAAGAATTGTGCTATAAAAGATCACAGTGATCAGGAGGCTCTTTAAAATCACCAGACCAGGTCAAAGAACCTAAGGTTCATCCATAAGGTGGAATAATATGGTACTAGAAAAGAATGAGATAAACCCACACATACTGACATGAAAAGATGTCAAAATGCACTGTTAAATGGAAAAAGAAGTATAGAAACAATATGTAGAACAGATACTATTTGTGTGAAAAAATAAAAATAAAAAGGGCATACATATACATATACATATACATATACACATACACATACACATACACATACACATACATATACATATACATATGTCTAGAAAACTTTTGGAAGAATGCACATGAAACTGAGCGAACCGGCACAGGAAGTTTTGTAGGTTTTTCCCTTACTTTATACATTTTCAGTACTGTTTTTTGTTTGTTTGTTTGTTTGTTTGTTTGTTTGTTTTTAAAAGATGACCGGTAAGGGGATCTTAACCCTTGACTTGGTGTTGTCAGCACCACGCTCACCCAGTGAGCGAACCGGCCATCCCTATGTGGGATCCGAACCCGGGGCCTTGGTGTTATCAGCACCGCACTCTACCGAGTGAGCCACGGGCCGGCCCTGTTTGTTTGTTTTTTAAAGATGACTGGTAAGAGGATCTTAACCCTTGACTTGGTGTTGTCAGCACCACGCTCACCCAGTGAGCGAACCGGCCATCCCTATGTGGGATCCGAACCCGGGGCCTTGGTGTTATCAGCACCGCACTCTACCGAGTGAGCCACGGGCCGGCCCTGTTTGTTTGTTTTTTAAAGATGACTGGTAAGAGGATCTTAACCCTTGACTTGGTGTTGTCAGCACCACGCTCACCCAGTGAGCGAACCGGCCATCCCTATGTGGGATCCGAACCCGGGGCCTTGGTGTTATCAGCACCGCACTCTACCGAGTGAGCCACGGGCCGGCCCTGTTTGTTTGTTTTTTAAAGATGACTGGTAAGAGGATCTTAACCCTTGACTTGGTGTTGTCAGCACCACGCTCTCGCACGTGAGCCACAGGCCAGCCCTTTCAGTACTGTTTTGAGCATGTCTCAGTATTGTGAATTTTAGAGTAATGATTTAAAAACATCACCAGTCTCACTCTGTGTAAGGCAAAGCCATTGTAAAGGACATAACAAATAACATGATGGTTAAAAATGACAGCAGTAGAATAAAACTCTAGGTCTCGTCCGCTAGATCAGCATTCTTTCCATCACACCAGGCTTTTCTACACTCTGCAGCTTCTTAGTTGTCTCTATGACACTAAGTTCCTTATTAAGGAAAATGGAAAATGCATAAGAAGGAAAAGGTACAGGATCCAACAACACATAGCAACACTGGGAAAACAAGTGTCAGCGACACCAGGAAGCAAAAAGAAAAGAATTTTGTTTCTTTCCTTAGAACTTGAACTCTAGAAATTCCTCCTTCAAGTTCTTTTTTCTCTACCTCAGAAAGTCTGTTTTAAAGCCCATTTGATCCCACTTCTTCCTACCTGCTCCAGATTATTGCTTCATTAACCTTGCCTTTTCCTTCCACCTCTTCCCCCACCCTAAAATTGATCATTGCCTAAAATTCTTAGAGCTACTAAAATTCATAGAGCTACTAATTTCTTCATTTGTCCCCAAATTTCTCAAAAGCTCAGCCCAAAAATGCTGTAACTATTTTTTCATCTCTCATCTCTCCTCAACCATGTCATATGCCCCCTGCCCTAATGTTTCATTATAACTGCCCTTAATAAGTCCGAATGACCTGGATTTGCCTAGCAAGCATTTTCAAAATAATATTGGTCCTTTACCAATTAAAAAAATAATACTCATCTATTGCCATAGACTGAATGTTTGTCCCCCACTAAATTTATATGTTGAACTCCTAACCCCTAATATGATATTAGGAGGTGGGGTCTTTGGCAGAACCACCATGAATGGGATTAGTGCCATTATGAAAGGGATCCTGGAGAGCTCCCCTCTCTTCCACCACGTGAACAAGAAGGTGGGTGTCTATTAACTAGGAAGTGGGCCCTCACCAGACACAGAATCCGCTTGCACCTTGATCTTGGACTTCCCAGCCTCTAGAACTGTAAGAAATAAATATCTGTTGTTTATAAGCCACCCAGTCCAATGGTACTCTGTTATGGTAGTGCAAACTAAAACACCTGTAGTATCAAAAACTTAACAATGAAGAAAATTAAAATTACCTGAAATATGACCACCTAAAAATAACTACTGTCAATCTTCTGATGTACCTCCTTCCCCAATCATTTCCTTTTCAATCATTTTTCTAAAAACAAATATGCATTTTTTTCCAAATTAAAAATTTTTTCTTCCTTAACATTCATGGTGATCATTTTCCAATGTCTTTAGATATACTGTAAAAATATACTTTTCAATTGCTAAATAGTATTCCATCCTGCAGAGGTTCCTTGATTTACTCATTCTCCTTAAACTGAAAATTCAGACTGTTTCCAATATTTTGTTATTATATAAAGTTATGACAAACTGTGCACATGCATCTCATCTATAGCTCCCATTACTTTATTAGAATACAGCCCTAGAAGGGAATATCCAGGTTAACAAATAAAAACTTTTTAAAGGCTCTTAGTATGTATTGCTAAAGTACTTTCTAGAAAGACTACCAATTCACGTTCAGCTCCAGAATTCTATTCCTGTTTTACTGCACTGTCACCAACACTTAATATAATTGTTCTCAATATGATAGGTGAAATATCTCTGTTTTACTCTGTACTTAACTGGTTTCTACTAAAAGTGGGCATTTTTCACATATACTTATGTGGATCAACCACTTATATTCTTTGCCGGTTTTTCTACACTAGTGACCTTCTATTTACCAAATCCTACAGGGGTGGCAGGTGCAGGATCTACTCTCCCTTTCTTCTTTACTAGCACATCCTCTACTCTGTTTGAAGTAGCAATATGCCCAACAAAAAACTACATTTTCCCACCCTCTGTTGCAGTGAGGTTGGCCCTTTGACACAGTTCCAGCAAATGAGATTTAAACAGAAGCCAGTGGATGGGGCTTCTGGACATTCTGAAAAGAAAGTCAGCTCTGCTGAAATAGGCCTTATGCCCTTCACCCTTCCCTTCTGCCTGCCTAGTCCCTATTTGATTCCTCACCCCAATTAACCTATACACACCGACTAGGTTAAGCTTTCTATCCTCAGCTAAGATCATGATGGGTTGCTCAGAAACTTCAAAGACTTCAGGCTTGTCTGCTGCCTACAGAATGAAATCCAGACTTCTTTGATTAAAGACCTCATAATATCATTTTATTCCATCTGTCAAGCACATTATACTTCAAATTCGCATTTCCACAATGTGCCTTCCTTGGTCAGGTATCATCTGGTAAGAATGACCCAAAAGGAAGAAAAGTCCACTGAAATCACCTTAAAAAAAAGAGGATTCACTAAAAAAAATGCAGGAGAATCTCACAGACCCCAAATACAAGCAGTAAAGCTGGGCCTCAGAGGAAATGAGAAGTCATCTGTCAGCTACTCAGTTTGTACCAGTTAGAACCTTGCCACTTCAGATGTGATCTTGTAACCAGAAGCATTAGCATCACCTGGAAACTTAACTACAGAATCTTGGCCCGGCCCCAAACTTACTGAATGACAATCTGCATACTTATAAGACACCCAGGTGATGCATTTACACATCAACATTTGAGAAGCAAGGAATGGAGAGCACTTCCTCCCTTCTGTCCTCCTTTGGCAAATTCAGCTGTCTCCCCACCTCTACAAAAAATAAAAATATTTAATTGAGCACACGCTATAAACTAGGCACTCAATGTGTTATCTCATTTAATTCTAAATCTGCAAGACTAGTACCATTACCTCCTTTTATTATTATCATTCCATTTTCAGAGATGAGAACACTGAATCTTAGACACTCAAACTATTGATCTGCTCAAAATCACACAACTAGGAAGTAGCACAGTTGCAATTAGACCTCAGTAAAGTCTGGTCTAAAAACTATGTTTTTAACCACTTCTGCCTTTCCATGTGAAAAGGCTGTTAATTCTGTATCGCCCACATTAAGTGGATGCTATGATTTGTGAGTGTCTGTCCCTTCTAAAACTCATGTTCACACTTAAGCCCCATTGTAACAGTATTAAGAGGGTGGGAAATTCAACTAAGGTATTTGAAAGGTGGGGCCTTTAAGAGGTGATTGGGTCATGAGGGCTCTGCCCTCATGAATGGATTACTCCACTCATGGATTAATGGGTTCTCATGGGAGTGGAACTTGTAGCTTTATAAGGAACAGAAGAGAGACCTGAGCTGGCACATTCAATGCCTTCACCATATGATGTCCTACACGGCCTTGGCATTCTGTAAAGAGCCCTCACCAGATGTGCTCCCTTGACCTTGGACTCAAGAACTGTCAAAAATAAATTTTGTTTCTTTAAAACTTACCCAGTTTTAGGTGTTCTGTTATAAGTAACAGCAAACAAACTAAGACAGGCGACAATGCTTAGAAAATGGCAAGGACCAAAGAAATTACTAAAATCTATTAGTTTTATCTGAGGGAAGCAGGATTCTAAAATTAGGATTGAAAAAAGTTAGAATGAGGGGCCGGCCCGGTGGCGCACTGCTACAGTGCACCACTTGGGAGCGTGGTGGCGCTCCCGCCGAGGGTTCGGATCCCACATACAGACCGGTTCCCGCTCACTGGCTGAGCGAGGTGTGGGCGCAACACCAAGGGTTGCGATCCCGTTGCCGGTCCCAGTCCGGTACGGGCGCGACACTGAGGGTTGCGATCTGTTGCCGGACATGAAAAAAGACAAAAAAGGAAAAAAAAAGAAAAAAGTTAGAATGAAGCATTTGAAAAAAGATCCTTTCTTGGAAGTAGACACAGCAAACTTCGAAGTCAGACAGAAAGAATTGCCCCTATCTCTTTTTTTCTACTTTTGTACTTATCTCTATCAATCATCAAAATTTATTTAAACTTTACTCTGTATGGCTGGCCAATAAATGTGACATGATTATGTTGCTCAAGTTGGCTTTCTTCCTAAAGAAAGCTAACATAATGGGCAATATGTGCCTCCCTTACCAGTCCAGAGGTCCTGGGGGCCTGTTCCTGTTCCAGCGGCCAGCGGAGAGAGGACCCCTAGCTCACCTCCTCCCTCCAGTTGTGAGATCACAGCAGGTTTGAGAAGTGGAAATCCTGGTTTGGGGGAAGGAAATAAGAGAGACAGATGAATAATCTCCCACAGATGAGTTCCTAAGCCTCTTCTCAGGTTGTCTCAGCAATGGGGAGGGAAGGTAAGAGCCCCAGAGGGTCCCAAGCCTAAGGACTACAGGAAGATGTGGGAGGGCTTGGGAAGGACCCAGGAAACTTCATATAGGGCAAGCAGGGAGATTCGGCCCAAAGGGATACCACTTTTTGACCTTGGCCCAAAAGAGTCAGAGTCCACTGAGACCTTGGAAAGACTCGAGACACAGGTAAGGTGAGGAGGGACCTGAAGATGTCACCGTGGAATAGGAAGTTACTGTTTTCCATACTGTGTACAAAACACAGTTTCCACAGGGTGAATCAAAAGTGCATACTGGAGTACAAAACTATGCTATCTACCCTAAATGAATCATTATGTAGTATATGTATGTATTAAAACAGCACACTGTACTCCACAAATATGTACACGTAAAAGATAAAATATTTTGAATAAAAAAAAGTGCACACCAGTCCCAGCAAAGTCCTCCATTGGCCAAAAAGGGCTTGGGGTTCACCCTTCCCAGTAACCTCAAGTCTAGGAGATTAGAAATAGTCCCAAGGTTCCCACTCAGTAAAGGATTACCAGAGACCCCATCTACAACTTGTAAGGGAGAAGGAAGCCAGGAAACCCCAAATGACAGAACCTGGGTCCCAGGGGAAGAGACACCTTACCCAGGGAGGCCACATTCCCATAATTCTCCAGCATCACATCCCTGTACAGGGCCTTCTGTGCCGGGGACAGACCATCCCATTCCGTCTGGGTGAAGTACACAGCCACATCCTCAAAGGTCACCGACTTCTGAAACAACAGGTTCCTGCTGCCCTAGGGCCAACTCCATGGCTCAGGCCCTAAGTGAGGGGCAGAGGGTAGTATAAGGGCCTGGGGAGGAAGCTTGTGAAAGCACAAAAATAATAACAAGGAAAAGATTTGGTACCAAGAAAAAAAAAGGCTGGCTGGTTAGCTCACTTGGTTACAGCATAGTGCTGATTACACCAAGATCGAGGGTTGGGATCCCCATACCAGCCAGCTGCCAGAAGAGAAGTGAAGAGGAAGAGAAGAGAAAAAAGAAAGAAAGAACCAAAGAACGAATACATAGGGCCGAGCCCGTGGCGCACTCGGGAGAGTGCGGTGCTGGGAGTGCAGCAGTGCTCCCACCGCGGGTTCGGATCCTATATAGGGATGACCGATGCGCTCACAGCGCTCACTGGCTGAGCACCGTGCAGCTGGTCTCAAAAAGGACAAAAAAAAAAAAAAAACTAACAAAGAACGAATACATAGGGCCGAGCCCGTGGCGCACTCGGGAGAGTGCGGTGCTGGGAGGGCAGCAGTGCTCCCACCGCGGGTTCGGATCCTATATAGGGATGACCGATGCGCTCACAGCGCTCACTGGCTGAGCACCGTGCAGCTGGTCTCAAAAAGGACAAAAAAAAAAAAAAAAAAAAAAAAACTAACAAAGAACGAATACATAAATACAAGATTTGAGAAAAAGCAAACAAATGAATGAATGAATAAATAAACAAACAGATTTGAGAAAAAGCACCAGGAAACCACAGAATATCTGACTTCTCTCACAACATAGAAACCTCATGTCATTTTTTACATTTATAAAATATAATGTAAGTGGGGCTGAAAGAAAATAGATTTTCCCATAAGCAAATTCCCGAGGCCACTCTGCGCTATTAGACAGGCCATGCTCTCACTGGCAGACTGACCAATGCACTAGCAGTTGCCACGCCATCCCTTGAGATCTTGGCTTCTCTGTGCCGAAGCTCAGCCCTGGTCTGTGACCCACACCTTGCCCTCGTCTTTACACCTCAAGTCACCCCCAAAGAACAGTCCTGGCTCCCGTCTCATCCAGCCCCATCCACCACCTGATTCCCATCACACCCCATAAAGAGCTGTACAGCCTCTGCTCGAGCACCTCTAGCAGAGGAAGCGCAGCGCTGCCCGGCTGGGGCTCTCCCCAATACCCGGCATTTTTCATTACCCTCTCCCATGCAAGCCTCATCCTTTCCAACTTCTCCCAAGACCTCACTGTTTCTCCAGGGAGGTGTGGGAAAGGAGGGAGAGCAGCCTCGCCATTGGCCCAGCTCCTCCGCCATGCTTTCGGCTTTTCCTGTGAGCTATAAGGGTGGCATGAGTGCATGAGCTCTGCCACTCGGGGCTGAGGCTGCACCTTGTTCCCAGCCCACTCCTCCTACCTGGCAGCTGCAGCTTCTGCAGGTCCCCTTTGCCCACCTCAGCTTCCATGATAACAACTGCTCTCTGACAGCATCTGTCTCCTTTGATCCTACTGACCTCCACTAGCAATTCTAGCCCAACCTCTAGGTGTTTCTGTGAGCCCTGTTTGGAAAGGTCAAGTAACTTCCCTGCACAAAATTAAATGCCTTCACAGGGTGCCACCACCACCCTGTTCCCCAGTAAGTTGGCACCTTCTGAATCCATACCTCAGCTGGTTCAGCACCACCTGCATAGGAAACCTCAGCTAGAAACCCTGGAATCATTCTTGACTCTCCCCTTGCCCCCCATCCTTTGACTCTCTACATCCTGAAGATTTTTATGTCTTAAGCATGAATTGGATCCCTCCTCTTTAACAACTACTTTCCTTAATGAAGCCCACTTCACCAGTGGAATTCTTTCTGAAGTGGTCACCTTGCTTTTGAATCTCCCCTGAAAATCGTTCCATACATAACCATCACAAATCTGACCAAGTTAATGTCACTGTTTCCACAGTTCTCATATGACTGAACAGTTATGCATCACACTATAACTTTGTGACCTTGGGCATGTTACTCTGTTCCTCTTTGCTTTCATTTCTTTTCTGGCAGAATGAGTACAACACAGCACCTATCACAGAGGGAGGCTGTCAGGTCTGAACGATCCATGCAAAGGGCTTAGCACAGGGCCCTCGTAAGCCTCAGACAATATTATTGGTGTTATTGTGACTATGATTATTCCCAACCTGTAGTCCATGGATGAGCATCAGGGGGTCCATGAAGTCCCTGAAAGTGTATGGAAAATTTGGCTTGCAGGTTTATTTTTCTGAGGAAGAGGGTTGAGAGCTCTTACCATCAACCTTAAGTCTGAGTCACTGTACCCCAAGCCCTGAAAGCCTCACAAGGACACAATGAGAAACAGGACTTCCTGTCTTTTCCCTCCTTTGATCCTATTCCTATCATTTTCCCCTTTCCCTGATATAAAAGCACAGCCATCTCTCTGGGTGATCTGATCCTGCTACTCCTCTTCCCCTACAGCCCGAAACAGAGAATCCTAATTCTCTGGGATTCTCCTCCATTCACATCTATGCACAGTGCCTCCTTCATGGACAGCTTCCACATCCCCATTTACCCAGAGCCCTCTGGGGGGAGCTCCTGAACAGAGGAGCAGAGACCTTCAGTGTGCAGAAGGCTACCTTTCCACTTCCAGGCTTACTCTCCTGCTACCTCCACTTGTCACATCCTGGTCTCTGCTGCCCTCTCTCCACACCACCCCTTTCCCACAAGTTCCAGCCTGGCAGGCAGAAACAGCTTTCATTCCAAGGCTCCCTGGCTCCCCTTCTCAGTTCTCCTCAATCTGAAATTGCCCATGGGAAAAAGTGAAGGACACACAGCTCACCTGGAGCCAAGCTGTCAGAAGCATGGCTGTCGTCACCTGGTCTCCCCCTCAGAGAAGGGCTGTAGCTGAGGAGAAAGAGAGAGACAAGCGTGAGGCAAGCCATCCCTGCCAGGAGCAATGCGGCCCTCCTGGAAGCCCTGAGACGCAGACAGCCTGCATTCAGACAGCAGTGCAAACAGGAGCTGCCACCGGAAGAAAGCACTAATGTATTCACGGGTTCGGCACTTGGGACTCCTCCCAGCCTTGACATTGACACTCGCTGCCGGAAACCCTAGGATCTGACAATTCTGACACATATTATACATACGAAAGAGTGTATATAAAATGTAGGCAGACCCTAAAAAGTAATAAAACAAAGACTCATGGATCAATGATTCCATTCGAGAGACTGAACATGACCGAGATCTTTGACTCATTTCTCTTTCTCTAAAACAAGCATCTGCCTCAATTACAAGAGAAGGTAGGCCGATCCCTGTACTAGCCAGCCACCCCGTCAAAAAAAGAAGGTAGGCTGGCTGGACTGCAGCCCCAGCACACAGGCCTGGGGAGGCAGACCCCAAGGAAGCAGCACCTGGACAAAGGGGAAGCTAGCCCCCACAGCCCAGCACAGAGGCTCAGGGAGTCAGGCCCCAAGAAGGCAGTGCCTGGAGAAGGGGGCAGCTGCTCTCTGACATCCTGCCCCATTCCCTCAGAGCTCTGAGTGTCCTCAAGAATCCTAATGCCTCTGTAGAGATCAAGGAAGGTCAGCCTGCTGCGTGGCCCAGACTTACCTTGAGGAGGCTGGGCTGCGAGTGAGACACCAGGCTGCCCCCTCCTACTTTCCAGCTTTCTGATGGTGAGTACACCATGGCTTGGACTTCTGCTGCAGCTTCTGAGAGAGATCACTATAGCATTTAGAGTCCCATGACACAGCGCCTCTTGTTCATCATATTCAAAAACACGCAAACTGATTATTTTCTAAATTTTACTGCTCCTAAAGTCGGTCTTGAAAATTTATATTTTCTTCAAATATTATTCATTTCTTCCAGGATTTCAACTTCAGTAGAGTTGTAGAAAACACTGGTTCATGATTCTTTTCATTTCTTCTTTATCTGAAGTTACTTTGCTTTTCTTACCTCTCTTTTGAATATACGTGCTTTCTAGAACTTTTCTCCAGGGTTAGTGTTATGGACTAAATGTTTGTGTTCCCCCCAGTTTATATGCTGAAACCTGAACCCCCAGTGTGACTGTATTTGGAGATAGGGCCTATGAGGTGATAATAATAATGTTCAATGAGGTCCCAAGGTCGAGGCCCTAATCCAACAGGTCTGGTGCCCACACAGAGGAAGAAGAGACACCAGAGTTCACTCATGTTCACCCTCTCTCCCCCTCTCCATCACGTGAGGACACAATGAGAAGGTTGCCATCTGCAAGCCAGAAAGAGATCCCTGGCAGGAACCAAATCACCAGGCACCTTCATCTTGGACTTCTAACCTCCAGAACTGTGAGAAAAAAATTATCCCGTTTAAGCCACCAGTCTATGGTATTTTGTTATGGCAGCACAAACAGACTAACACAGTTAGACTAAACAGTGGTCTACTTATTTTAATGTGTTGTTGTTGTTGTTTTAATTTTCAAAGACCCAGCTTTTTCTTTTATCGCGCAACAACCACTTTCTTCTATTTGTTTTTAACTCCCCAATCCTGCTTTCTTAGTTTGTTCCTTTAGCTCTGTAGGAGACAGCTTAAGCACCACTCCACATCCTCTTGTCCCACCCTTAGCCCAGTTCCACCGAGGCCTTGACCAGCTTTGCAAAGCTGCAACCTACCAATGCCTCCACAAGGACCTATACCATATATGCCTAGTTCCTGCCCCTGGGGCCTCTTTGCTGTCCTTTGTGGGAAACCTAGGGACACCTGCTGGGCCATGAAGTGCAAGGGAGTTAACTCCTGCAGGGCCACCCTTGACCAATAGGGGATGGAAACCAATAGATAAACATCTTCCCCATCAGTCCCCCAAGTGGGCAACCTTGAGATGCCAAGGCTCCTCAAAGACTCTGCACGACAGAACCTGTTGAAGGGGCCAAGCCTGACAATGCGTCCTTGCATCAGTTTTCCCTCCTCCTGTTTTACAACCTTGTCCTTCACTCTGCCCGTAACAACATTCCTAAATGAATTCCTATACACAAATCTTTGCCCCACGTTCGGCTCTTGGGGGAAGCTAGACTACAAGAGGCTTTTTTCCTACCTTCTTGAGGTTGTATGATTTGTTTATTTATTTTCGAACTTTCCTATTTGGCAATTAAAGCCCAAAAGGCCATAAATTTTCTTCTGAATACAGTATTAGCCACATTCCAGAGGTTTTAATATTTCATGTTTTAGTTATTATTTTATAACCAGTCAGCAACTCTGTTTTGTCCCTGACTTATAATTGCTTAGGATAGTTTGTTGTTGCTAATTTCTTCTCTGTTCATAAATTCTGGCTTTTTGCATGATCTTTAAATAACCTGATCTAATAACTTCTACTTTAGAAATTTCTGAGGGTTTTTTTCTTATGGCTAAAGTGTCCATTTAAAAAAAATATTCTATGGTGTTTAAAAAGAAAACTTATTATATGATGGAAGAACATATAGTTCCACTTGAATCTAATAAATCAATTCCACCAATTATATTATATAGATTTTCTCCATAATCTTTGATTATTTTTACCTAATTAAACCAAGACAGCCAGTAAAGAGCTACCTTTCACAAAATGCTGAGCCCAGATGTGTCATGAGCCAATCTTTTCAAATCTTTGTGTTAAATTAAGTCTGTCCTCAAGGTTTTTTTCAGACATAGTGAACTACAACCTAACTTGATATGCAAACAGACTGTAACCTACTTTTGTAAAAAGCAGCTGAGTCTCGATCACAGGCAGCCAACTGAAAATTCAGCAGCAACCAGAACAGGATAGGTTCAGAGTGACTCCACGTTAGCAACTCAGCTAACGTGGAGTCACTCTGAACCTATCCTGTTGCTGAATTTGTGGATCATTCTTTGCTCAATTAAACTGTTAAATTTATCTATAGTTTTTTTTAAATATGAAAAATGAATAATTCTCAGGCTGGCCAGTTAACTCATCTGGGAGAAGAGCATGGTGCCAATAGCACCAAGATCAAGGATTCGGATCCCCAGACTGGCTGGTTGTGAAAAAAAAAACGAAAGAAATAAATGAATAGTTCTTTTTTTTTTTTTTTTTAAAGATGACTGGCAAGGGGATCTTAACCCTTGACTTGGTGTTGTCAGCACCATGCTCACCCAGTGAGCAACCGGCCATCCCTATATAGGGATCCGAACCTGTGGCCTTGGTGTTATCAGCACCGCACTCTCCCAAGTGAGACATGTGCCGGCCCCAGAAATGAATAATTCTAACACTACTTAAACTATAGCAGAGCATGGCAAAATAAGTTTCCCAATTCTTTTTATGATGCCAGCACAAAACTGATACAAAACCACAGTCATCTCATTTATGAATACTGACACAAAAATTCTAAATATTAAGGAATAGACTCCAGCAGTTCATTACAGTAATGCATCACAACTAAGTAGGATCATCGATGAAGATAAGTAAAGCTCAATAACTGTTAGGACACAGATTAGTATCTTTTCCACATTAATAAATCAAAGATAAACATACTGTCCATCTCAATAGACGCCAAAGGTGTTTGAAAAAACTCAACATTTATGCTTCATTTTAAAAACTTATGCCCTACAGAAACTCTCATATGAGGGCCGGCCCGTGGCTCACTCGGTAGAGTGCGGTGCTGATAACACCAAGGCCATGGGTTCGGATCCTATATAGGGATGGCCGGTTTGCTCACTGGCTGAGCGTTGTGCTGACACCACCAAGCCAAGGGTTGAGATCCCCTTACCGGTCATCTTTAAAAAAAAAAAAAGAAAGAAAGAAACTCTCATATGTAGGAGATATGTACAAAAATATTCATTATCAGCATTATTTTAATACCAAAAAACTGGAAACAACCCACATGTCCATTGAAACTACAGCAATAAGTTTTCATATAGTTTTTACAATGGAGCACTACCCAGCAGCTACACAAAACATGTATAAATTTAGGAACATGATATTGAATTATGCCAACCCCAGAGACTATACGCACCATGATGCCATTTATATAAAGCTCAAATACAAAAAAAAATAATAATTTAAATGATATATGTATATATGATAAAACTATATTTAAAATAGTAAGGCTATGATTAAAACAAAATTTAAGTTAGTTGCTACCTCTATGGGTGGGAGGCTGGGAGTTGGGTTGAGGAGGCGCATACGATGCAGCAGTACTTGCAATGTCCTCCTTCTTAATTGGGTGGTGTGTTCATGAGTGCTCATTTTATTAGTACACACACTCGTATATTCATATTTATAACATATAGGTACTAAGCACATTGATAGACGCAGCGGTACTGGCAATGTTCTCCTTCTTACTTGGGTGGTGTATTCAGGGGTGCTCATTTTATTACCATATATGCTTGCATATTTATATTTATAACAAATATATATATACACCAACCAGGATGGGGTGGAGGTGAAGTCCCAAAATGGAATACAAACAACAGCAAATGAGCCTAACTACACTACAATTGAATAACATAACCATCCCGATGTAGTGGGAAAGAAAACAATTAACTTCGGAAAACAGTATTTTGACTAATTACGATTCAGCCAAAGACAAAAAGACCTATATCCAAATACTGCACTGTACTCTAGATATTAAATGTTTCTCGTGAGGGTATGAATCAGCAATTCTGAATCTATTTTATGTGTATTCTAGAACTGAGCAAATTCGTAATTACGTTGTAAAAGTCACTCCCAGGTCATTGTCACCCCACAGAGAGAGGTAGGGCTGTTTACCTCTTGGGACAGACACGGCTCCAGGAGACAGTGCCCTACAAAATCCGGGTTCCTTCTGCTCCCGGGTAGCTGGGGGTCTCTGCTTTTTCTGCGCTCCCACTTGGCCCTGATTCATGACCCCATATCAGGAGGCAGGGAGCACACAGTCCAAACTTCATACAGGTAAAAGTCCCTGCACGACCTCAACATGTCAAAAGACTGTGTTATCACCTTCGGCCGCTTCAGCCCCACAAATATTCCGCGCTCTGGCTGCAATGACACATCTTCCCCGAACAGATCAAGTGCTAAACGCTCTGTGCGTCGTGGCTGTGACAGTAACACAGGCTTCGCCTTCCTTCCGCTGGACGGATCCTATTCGGCCACCAAGTGCAAAGCGGGAGTCGAGGAGGGCGGAAGAGAACCGCAGGCCGCCGCTCCTACTCTCTCCCCCGGTCTCGGCCTCCCGGCAGCACAGCTCACCGGAGACCCAGCTCCACACGGGATGGAGACGCTTCCCAACCGCACTCAGAGCCTTGGAGTCAGGGCACCGCCCAGGCGCGCGCAAACCCGCACTCACCTCCGCACGGGCGAGTCCGCGGCGCGGCCGGAAGTACGTCACCAAGGGGGCGACCGAGCCTCTCTAGGAGCAGGGTCGCTCCCTCTCGGTGGTGCCCGGCTTCTTGAGGCTACAGCCCTGTCCGCTGGGACCAGGCGCCCTTCGTCCCTCTGCATGGGGTCTGACCCGCGAGGGCCCATACTCCTCGGAGGACTGGGGTAGGCAGGAATCAGAGTCCAGCGCGGGGCCCAACCCGACGAGGGGCGCCGGGAATCTGAGTCTTGGTAAAGCTCCAGGTGCAACCAGGTTTGGGAGTCTCCGGACTGGACCGGGGGATCACCCGCTGTCGGACCCACTGCCCCCTTTCTTAACGTAGTATTTCATAATGTCCACTTTATTGTCCTATCATGAAACTCGTAAATAATGGCCTATAAAGTCATAGGTGCTATAAACAACCTACATTTTTAAAACTAAGATTATGCCTTAACTTTAATAAAGGAGAAAGAAAAGGAACACAGTTATAAAAAAAAAAAAAAATACATATTTAAATATGTAAGTGTTTGGTCATGACTGCTGTAGCGGACCTAATGAAGTGGTCAGATATTTGCCATCACACATAGACTTTGCCAGAATGCCACAGCCACAAAGGTGTGTCTTATGCTGGTGTTTCAAAAATCACAAGTGTGATTCAAATGGAGAACACTTTTTGGTAAAGTTCTGAATGAAACACAGTACAATCTTCTTTCGATTGTATAGTAGTTATATTTCTATAACATCATGTGTTAAAAGTGTGCAAAAATACCTTGTGCTTATACAGAAAACAAGTTTTAGATTCAGGTCATGTATAGATAGGGTTTTCACCTCCATGAATGTCCAGTAAGACATCTGAAAGTCTGAAATTTTTTTCAGTAGGTGGGACTGACCTGTGTATTGCAGGATTTGTGGCACTCCTGGCTGCCAGCCACAATGTTAATAGCGACCCCACCAACATCACCCAATGTAACCTACCTCCCCCCCATAAAATTCAAAATTGAGCCCTAGGGGAGAAGAAACAGCTAAAAATCCACTGGACTGGATCACCCTTAAGTTCTCCCACCCCACCCCTAATAGAGTAGGTCTTTCTTCCTTCCAGCTCTGATCCCTCCAGTGTTGTTGCACTGGAAATTGGTGTTTGGTTCCCACTCGCCTGTCCAGCTTCTTATTACTCCCATTCTCTCACTTCTCTCAACTTCAGCCCCACATACTGAACATGCTGTTTTCTAAACCTAGAATGCCCTCCACTTCCCATCCCTACCCTCCATCTTGACTATTACTGGAAGTGTCAGCTCAGATCCCATTTCCCATGTGAAGCAAGCCTTCCCTGAACACCAAGAATAAGGCACCGCCCACTCCCTGTTATGTGCCATCACGACATCCTGTAGTTCTGAGTACTTGGCACATTTGTACATATTTAATGGTGATAGTTTATTCAAATACCCAGTCTTCTGTGGTAGCTCCAGGGGGCAGGGACTATATCTTGCTCAACACCATTATCCTCAGCTACAGCATAAAACCTGGCACAAAGGAGGGGAGCAATAAATGTTTGTAGCTGACATGGTCCAAAGGCTCCAGCCCCAACTCCTGGGTAGAACCCCACTTTATTTCTGTGCCACCAGAGGAAGGATATGTCTTATACCTGAGGTCATGACACTGACCATTGCTCTTCTCTGCCTTACCTTCACCCTCATTTTCACTGGTTCCCCAAATGGGCACTTTAAATGGCTTCTCTCATTGAGATGGGAAAATGGTCTGCATGATTAGGCAGAGTGATAGCTGGGGATTACATTGCTTTTGGCAATCAGAGCTGGTTTTCACTTCTTCCTCCACTCAGAAAGCAGACTTTTAGGTAGGAGTGAGGGTTTGTTGAAAGAAATAGGAAGGAATTCGGAGATCATGGTGTCACATAAATGCTGGCCCCGAATGCTTGGATCATAAACCAGTCGCCTGATTTTACAGATAAAAGAACAGGACCCCCTAAATAACCACGAAGTTCCTACTCCTAAGAATACTAGGATAGATGTAAACCAAGTTTAAAAAGCTCTGTGGTAGGGCCGGCCCGGTGGTGCACTCGGTAGAGTGCGGCGCTTGGGAGTGCGGCGGCGCTCCTGCCGAGGGTTCGGATCCCATATAGAGACCGGTCCGCTCACTGGTTGAGCACGGTGCGGGCGCGACACCGAGGGTTGCGATCCCGTTGCCAGTCGCGGTACAGGCGTGACACTGAGGGTTGCGATCCCTTTACTGGTCACGAAAAAAGACAAAAAGAAAAAAAAAGCTCTGTGGTAGGTCTGGAGAGGCAGAGACCACTTGTTGTCTGCCAGCCTCTGTTCTTCCATTATTATACAGTAACATAATCACATAATCTCTAGGAAAGTATGTGACAGTCCAGGGGAAAAAAAGAACACATTTCCCAGAATCCTTCAAAGCAAAGCGTGACCATGTGAGCAACTTCTAGCAAACAGGCTGTAAGAAAGAGTGATGCTGTGTCCTCAAAGACAAGGAACATGCCCTTCCTGGCCCCATATGCCCATTGGCTGGGTGGAATGCTGACGAGAATGAGCATCTTGGACCATGTGAATGTGGGTGTGGCCCTTGGGGATGACAGAGCAGCTAATAGCGGGAGTCATGGAGCTGCTATATCAGTCCCAGACTGCTTTCCATCAGCGGGGATATGAGAGAGAAATAAAATTTCATCCTATTTAAAACACATTTATTTGGCTTCTATGAATGAATTCCCATGCCCATATCGTAACTAATACCCCTAGGTATTAGGAATAATGGAAAATCACACAACATAACAGCTAAAAATTTAAGCTGGCTTGGGCCGGCCCGTGGCTCACTCGAGAGAGTGCGGTGCTGATAACACCAAGGCCGCGAGTTCGGATCCTATATAGGGATGGCCGGTTAGCTCACTGGCTGAGCGTGATGCTGACAACACCAAGCTAAGGGTTAAGATCCCCTTACCGGTCACCTTTTAAAATAAATAAATAAATAAATAAATAAAAATTTAAGCTGGCTTTCAGAATTCAGCATTCTGGGAGTCCATCTCTATGCTGGGCCTGCAGCCATGTTTCCTCAGTTTCCTCCTGCTTAGCTCTAAGCCTTCTTCTCCTGTACCCTCTGTCTCCACAGTCCCAAAGCCTCCCTGAAACCCTTCCTCTCCAATCACCAAGGAAATGGACAATCTTCTGACATTAAAATCTTTTTTTGGTATTTCCAGTTTTAATATGACAGAGTAGAGATGGCTCTGGCTTCTTATTCTCTTGAAAATTGGGGCAAAACAATAAGAGTCTGGATGGGGTTCATTCCAGTTCGAGGATATTTTAATACTACAAAATTTTCCTTTACTTATTGATATTGTGAATTATATTAACAGATAATTCAACCCACTATGTATAGAAATATACTAGGGTAGGGAGAGGTCTTATTCACAAACAACCAAAGATATGTAAAAATAAGTTTAATAATGAATGTTTAAGACATACATGAAGAAAATTTTAAATACAAAGGAACTAAACCCCCAAAGAAACTTGTATAAATAGAAAGACACAGGTAATTTTTCAATATTCTTTATTTAATGTATAAATTCAATGTTAAACCAAATAAAACCTCAAAAAGATTTGTTTTGGAACTTGTGAAAATGATTCTAAAGTTCATCTGGAAAAAATATGTTATATGTTTATAAGATAGTACTAAAATTTAAGCAATGTAAAAGGATCAAAAGTTAAAGAACAGAAGATATGCCAGATGGGTATTAAGCTAAAGGAAAAATGTCATAGCTATATTAATATCTTACAACAATGACTTTAAAACAAAAAATCTTATTAGGCAGAATTCTATTTCAGGCAATGTAGCAAATAATATAAACTAGCATCTAGAAACTTAGGACAAGATATAATATGCAACATTATTTTATTTATTATTTTATTTATTCAGCATTCTATTAGAAGTCTCTTTATGAGAAGATGGGGGGCGGGAGTCTTTCTTTTCCTTCTAGGGGACTTCAGCATCAGAGCTGATAATTGGACTCCCTTGAGAACTCTGTGGGATTGTGGCCCAGCACCATTGTGTTATTCTGGAGGTCAACATCCTTGAAATTAGGGGAAAATATCTGTTGCCTGGTTATGCTATGCAAAGAAGAATACTCGGGGTCTTTCCTAAGCACATATAAAGAGCAAGCTATTAGGCAACACGTGAGAAAGAAGGTATGTTGTACTCATTTGGAGACAGAATGCTTGGTTCCCATTCATACCCTCTCCTCACTTGCTACCCCCCAACTGTTTACTTCTTTTCAGAAACATACAGTGGATTAGGTCTGCTTTCTCTTTGGTAAAAAGCTTGAAAACTTGGTTGTGGTTAGCAAATTTCTGTGAAGTTAGGCAAAACATACTTCTGAAGGAGTTTGGCATGCAGCCTCTTCTCCCTATTATGATGTTATAATTACAAACTTATGCATGAGTTATTTCTTTATGGACAAACATAAAAGGGTGATAACATCCACAAATAAGCTAGAGGAGGGAAAATGTTAACACTAATCGAGCAACTACTGAATTCCAAGCACTACTGTATGTACTTTAAGTAAAACAATACATGTGGTATATACAACAACTATGCACTATTACCTAATTTTTTAGATGAGTGAATGTCTAAGTGATTGCCCAAAGTATCACAGCTGGTAAGTGAAGAAGCCAGGATTTCTCAGTCCTGTATATTTATTTCTAATTTTCTTTTTTCTGTGTTTCCTTTTGGATAGTTTCTATTACTATATCTTCAGATTCACTAATCTTTTCCCCCCTGCAATGTCTAATCTTCTCTTAATCCCACCCAGTGTATTTTTCATTGCAAATTACAGTTTTTCATCTTTAAAAGTCTGATTTGGGTATTTTTTATATCTTCCATGTCTCTGTTTAACTTTTCTTTTTTTA